AAACCGATGACTTCCTCACTTCCGGAATAACATATCTACTCCCAAAAACAGAAAATACATCAGATCCCAGCAAATATAGACCAATCACTTGCCTAACAACAATGTATAAAATCCTAACATCCATAATATCAACAAAAATATATAATCATTTAAGCAACAACAACATAATAGCTGAAGAACAAAAAGGCTGTATAAAACACTCAATGGGCTGTAAAGAGCAATTAACAATAGACAATATCATAACAATAAGAGCTCGTCAAAAACATAGAAATCTTGAAATGGCATACATAGACTATAAGAAAGCATTTGATTCAGTCCCACATAAATGGTTATTAAGAGTGTTAAAACTATATAAAATTGACAACACACTGATAAACACACTAGAAAATATGATGAAAAAATGGAAAACTAAATTGTGTGTCAATATAAATAATGGAACAAAAATAAGTACAGAAATTAAAATAAACAGAGGAATATTTCAAGGCGACTCGCTCAGTCCTCTGTGGTTCTGCTTAGCCTTAAATCCACTGTCATCATTACTCAAAAAGTTAAAAGGCGTAAATCTAAAGTCAAATGATACAAAATATAATCTAACACATCTACTATATATGGACGATTTAAAACTATACGCCGAAAAAGAATCTGATTTAAATGCAATGTTAAAAACAACAGAAACTTTCTCCAATGACATAAATATGGAATTTGGATTAGATAAATGTGCTATAATGAAATTGAAAAGAGGTGTCTACTCAGAGAGACCTGAGTACGAAACTGATAATGGATATATAAAGGCACTAGAAAATGGAGATATATACAAATATTTTGTATTAAACAAATGCATAAATCTAAAATGACAGCAGTTAAAGAAGAAATAAAGAAAACATTAAATCAAAGAATCATTAAAATACTAAAATCTCAACTAAACTCAAACAACAAATTCAAAGCCATAAACACTTGGGCAATACCTGTACTGACATACTCGTTCGGAATAATAAAATGGAGTAAAACAGAACTCGAGACCATCGAAAGACATATAAGGCGACAACTTACAATGTTTGGAGTACACCACCCTAGAAGTTCTGTAGCACGACTATGTGTTAGTAGAAAACATGGGGGTAGAGGGTTACTAAACATTGTAAGCCTTGAGGCCAAACAGCGAGAACTGTTGAGAAAATACCATCAACAAAAATGCTATGTCTCAGAGCTCCACAAAATAACATCAACACTCGATTACAACTACACACCTCTAAACCTCAGCAATATTGAACATCAAATAGATATACAAAATGAAAAAGAGAGGATTAACACATGGGCCTCAAAAGAACTCCACGGAAGATACCGGGCAGAACTCAACCAAACACACGTAGACGAAGAAATGTCTACAAAATGGTTGAAGTACGCCGGTCTTCACGGAGAGACAGAGGGGTTCATGATGGCAATACAAGATCGAGTGGTTCCGACCCGTAACCATCAGAAATATATCCAAAAGCTAAACATACCAACAGACAAGTGCAGGATGTGTCATATGGAGTCCGAAACAATAGAACATATACTAAATGGGTGTAAAGTACTCACAAATACCGAGTACCTAAGCCGTCACAATCAAGTAGCCAAGATCATACATCAGGAACTGGCAATAAGATTCGGACTAATCAAAGACCCATTACCATACTATAGATACGAGCCACAAAGTGTAATGGAAAACAACAGTGCCAAGCTCTACTGGGATAAAGAAATAAGAACTGATAAGACTGTGGCCCACAACCGCCCAGATATAGTCATAGTAGACAAACATCAAGATAAGGCGTATATAATAGACATAGCGGTCCCACTAACACATAAATTACAGGACACGCATTGTGAGAAACGTCGGAAATATACAGACTTGGCCTATGAGATCAATAAGATGTGGCGCATTAAGAAAGTTGAAATAATACCTATAATACTGTCATCAATGGCCGTAATACCGAAAAATCTGGCCCTAAGTATGGAATCACTTCAAATAAGAAAAACTAAGATCTATGAAATGCAAAAAGCAGTGATACTTCAGAGTTGTAGAACAGTCAGAAAAGTACTAGACTTGAGTTGAGTCTAACCAGTCGTGTCTCTGCCACCAAAAGTGGCCGACACAACTGTGATCACACCGGAACAACCGTGATATACAAAGATAATAATAATAATAATAATAATAATAATAATAATAATAATAATAATAATAATAATAATAATAATAATAATAATAATAATAATAATAATGTTTGTATTAATGATAACTATTTTCCGACAAACATTTTAAATTTACAATTAATTGATTTTATAAATTGTATTATTAATAATCATGATATTTGAGATGTTATTAATTATGAATATAACATTGTATTGAGATTAACAAACAATTTTTATTTTTAAAATCTGTAATTAAGTAATATTATATTATTTAAAAAAAAATAGTCTGTATTAATCATAATTTTATTTAATATTAAAGCTTCAATTTATTTTAGCTAAATTTATTTGTTCATTAATAAAATATAAATTTAGTATTTTTTTATTAAAAATACATTAATACTATATAAGTACTGAATTTTAAAAATTATAAACATGTAGTATATTGTAATTTAATAATAAATTATATTAATTGTTTGCATATAAAGTTAAATACTAATAATTATGTTATATTATACTCTATGATATAGTTATAGTAATAGTAATTATAATTGAGTGATTAAGTGAGTGAATGAGTGAGTGAGTGAATTAATGAATGAATGAATGAGTGAGTGAGTGAGTGAGTGAGTGAGTGAGTGAGTGAGTGAGTGAGTGAGTGAGTGAGTGAGTGAGTGAGTGAGTGAATGAGTGAGTGAGTGAGTGAGTGAGTGAGTGAGTGAGTGAGTGAGTGAGTGAGTGAGTGAGTGAGTGAGTGAGTGAGTGAGTGAGTGAGTGAGTGAGTGAATGAGTGAGTGAGTGAGTGAGTGAGTGAGTGAGTGAGTGAGTGAGTGAGTGAGTGAGTGAGTGAGTGAGTGAGTGAGTGAGTGAGTGAGTGAGTGAGTGAGTGAGTGAGTGAGTGAGTGAAAGAGGGAGAGAGAAAGATTTAACAAGTTTTATAATTTAAAAATTATGAATATATTTTGAAACTAATTTAATTGTCTAATACTCTATGTTTTATTAATGAGAATTATATCCCGACAAACATTTAAAATTTACAATTAATTATTTATATAAATATTTTATGAATAATCATGATATTTGAGATATTTTTATTAAATTTAACATTAAATTGAAATTAAACTTATATTTGTAATATAGTAAACAATATCAATATATTAATTTTTATAATAGTTAAAATTAATATAATTTAAAAAAATTAGAAATAAGCTTTAATTTTTGTTGTAATATAATATAAATTTAGTATTTTTGTTATTATATATATATATATATATATACAGTAAATACAATATACAGTATAAAATTTATACATTTAATAAATTATTTTTATAGTTTGCATGTACTGTATATAAAATTTATATACAGTACATGCAAATTATAAAATATATTACTATTAATATAATTATAATAATTATGATGAATATATTAAATTACAAATATTTTTATACAAACTATTAATTAAACTTTGTTTTATTAGTAAGATTTATTTGCAAATGACAATAAATTATTGATTTTCAGTACTGAATATATCGGTGTTTATAATAAATTATATTATATTAAAAATATCATTAAATCATTGTATACTAAAATTTTGTTTTTTTAAATCTCTATTATTTTTTTTAAAAAAAATAATTTATTTATTTAGTAAAATAAGCTTCAAATATATTACATAAATATATTATTAATAATAATAAAATAAGAAAAACATATTCATATAGTGTTATGTCAATCATAAGTTTAATTAGTAATTTTAAAATATATTCAGTTAATTATATATATATATATATATATATATATATATATATATATATATATATATATATATATATATATATATATATTATTGTTTTAAAAATTATTTTTGTTATCTTAATTATTTTGTAGTTTAAGAGTATAGTAATCATAAATAAAATAATAATAGAGTAGTTTTTATTTAAAAAAAACATTTATTTAATTATTTATTAGTTTTTATAGTTTAAAAAAGTTGTAAATATATATATAAATTTCTGGAAACTTGATCCACAGATCATATGTTTGGTTAACATAATAAATATTTTGAAAAATAAGAAAATATAGTATTTTAATTGAATAATTAATATATTTACTATTAATAATCATTGGATTTAAATATTATATATAAATATATATTTTAAAAAATATTTAATTAACTTTTGTTTTGCTTTTCTATAGTTTTTTATTAATTAATAGTTAATTTGTTAAAAATGTTTGTTTAAACGTTTTTTTTGAAAAAAAATAATTATTAATAATATATATATTATGTTATTTATGTAAGACTTGTTTACAACAATAATAACTTTTTAAAACTCGATATTAATAATAATAATAAGGGGTAATTCACATATTACGTTCGCATTTAAGGGGAAATGGGGTCGGTCAAAACAAACTTTTGCGAACGAGGGGGAGGGGTTAATATCTATTTAGATATTTTATTTTTTAGTGAAGTAAGGAGGGGAGGGGGTTATCGGTGTTAGGGACAAATTTTTTTAAAAATAACTACAGTAAAATCGTTTTATTTCCCATATGAAAGTAAAAAAAATTGAAAAATAAAATTTTCAAGTAAAAAACTCGCATTTTTACCACCCCTGGTAAAAATTAAGCACTAAATTATTATTAAAAAAAGTAAAAAACTATATTTTTCATATGGGAGAAAACTCGCATTATTTCCCATGAATTTGACATTTCCCATATGGGAAATAAAACACAATTTAACGGATATATGCAAACAATATCGAACATAGAGGAGGGAGGGGGTTTAGATTTAAAAAAAAGTGCAAACGTAATATCAGAACAGCCCCTATAATAATAACAATAATAATAATAATAATGACGTCAACTGTACTAACAATTTGTTTGTTGTTTTTGTTTTGTTAATTAATCGCCCGATTAGTCGCCCGAATAATAATTATATGACCGCTTAAATATCGGCAATCATTTCACGGGTAGTGACCGTCAGCAACACCAACAACAAAACAGAGAGACCCGAACCGCGGACACTTAGACTGTGTTTAGCCGACGATACAGCCGCGTGCAACTGGCCATCGGCATCATCATCATCAGTGGACACAAGTATTGACCACTTGCCGCGTGTCACCGGCCAAAGTGACCACTGATTAGTGGACAATAATATAACATTATCACCAAAAAATGGCTCCGAAACCCGTACCGACGGCCGACGAGCTTTGGGGCAATCATCTGATGCCTCAGTCGCTGGTCATTGACGTACTGACACCAAACGGTCTACTATTGGAAGTGATGGCCAATCGGGAGTCGACGCTCGAATCGATCAAACAGGATGTCTGGTCGGAGGCCAAGAAACATGTCTGCTATCGGCTACTGAATGACATCAATAGCTATATCTTTGTGTCGGTAACTCAGGACTCGAAAGTCGAAGAGTTTTACGACGAAACCCGACGGCTGTGCGATCTTCGGCTGTTTCAGCCGCTATTGAAACTAAAAGAACCCGACGGTAATAAAGAAGAAAAGATATTGGCCTCGGAAATCAGTTTGGCCATCGGTAAGCCAATCAATCAGTTGGACAGTGTCAGGAATGCCGAAATTGTTGAGTTCAGGCGTAACGTACAGACACTTTGTAAGCGTATTGTCGACGATAGGGAACAGTTGACGGCCAATGAGAAACTGTTTTACGCTTTTCCGCCCGAACTCGACGAAACAGATCCCGACGGCGGCGCCAGTGGCCGTCTGACAAAAGACGACGACGACACGTTTGATGTATGCGTTTGGACCACCGATTTCGGTGCCGCAGCCGTTGCTGGTGACCAAAACACTACTGCCGCTGCCGTTGCTGCCAATGAATCGTATATATTGACAGTAAATCAAAACTACTTATGCGTCGATCTTATTGGTGACGCACTGAAAGCTATTTACCATAAGATTAAGACAAATAATAATAAGAAGAAGATATCAATTGACAACAAGTTGATGACTAATAATAATAATAATAATAATAATAATATTAATGAAGACATTGATGTCGATGTGGACGAGTTGGCCAAACAAGACAGTCATAAATATGTGCTCAAGATTTGCGGCGTTGAACAGTATTTGTTGGGCAACTATAGACTCTACAGATATAGTGTATGTATTTTAGTTGATGACTATCACCACTTGAATCTATTTTTTTGATTGTCATTTAATATATCTTTTTGTTTCTCTCTCTCTCTCTCTCTCTCTCTCTCTCTCTCTCTCTCTCTCTCCCGAACTGCCAGTACATACGTTCGTGTAAATCGCAGGCCAAACAGCCGCAACTGTTTTTGGTTGGCCAGTCGACACTTGTCGACAAAGTGCCCAAATGTTCATTTTTGATGCCACACTTTATGAAACGATTTACCTCCTCAAGTATAACCACCGCTAACAACACACCCACCATCACCACCGCCACCACTACTACTACTAGTAATACTATAAACACCTCAAACAACAACAACAACAACAACACAATCGCCAACAGCAGTCTCACATATGCCACTACCGGTGCCGATATCTATCAGAGCCTACAAAGAAAGGAACTGATGTCTCTGTGGACAATCAATAGCTACTTCAGGATCAGTGTCCTGTCGGCTACCTATGTAAATGTTCGCGATGTTGACGGCATCTATGTCAAAGTGGGTATCTATCACGGAGCCGAAGCCCTGTGCCAGGACAGGGCTACTGCGAAAGTGGCGCCGCAAAACCCGCGCTGGTCGGAAACGATTCAATTTGATTTGTACGCGCCCGACATTCCCCGATCGGCTCGGCTATGTTTTTCAATTTGCGCCGTCACTCAGCGTAAACGTCGCGAAGAACACTACGCCATTGCGTTCGGCAATATTCAATTGTTCGACTACCGAAGCCAATTGATGGCCGATCGTTTGAATATTACTTTGTGGCCAATGCCTAAAGGTTACGACGATTTGCTCAATCCGTTGGGAATGATCGGCTCGAATCCCAATAAAGATTCGTCGTGTTTGCAAATCGAGTTCGAACGGTACTCGCATCCGGTAGTGTTTCCGCCCGACGGCCACATCGAAGAGTACGCCAATTGGATTATCAAAATGGAGAAAAGTCGGCGCGATTTGACCGGCAATAGAGCGACACCGGCTGCCGACAACATCCAGACAGCGGCGGCGGCAACCGCTGAACGATCGCAGCGAATCGCTCGCTACGATATCGGTGTCGATGTCTCAGCCGAAGTTTCAGCTCAAGAGTTAGCCCAATTGACCGATATTTTGCGTAGAGATCCGCTATCGGAGTTGTCTGAACAGGAAAAAGATTTTCTATGGAGTCTACGACACGTTATGGTCGCACTGCCGAACTCTTTACCGAAACTGTTGGACGCTATCAAATGGAACAACAGAGACGAAGTGGCACAACTCTATCTACTATTGAAACGTTGGCCAAAGATTAAGGTCGAGACAGCGCTGGAACTGTTGGACTGTAAATATACGGATCTAAAGGTACGCAGCTATGCTGTCAAATGGCTGGACACGGGTCTCAGCGATGATCATCTCCTACAATATCTGCTTCAGTTGGTCCAAGTGCTCAAAAAGGAGCCCTACTTTGACAATGAAATCTCACATTTTTTGCTCAATCGGTCGCTAAATAATCAACGTATCGGACATTTCTTTTTCTGGCACCTGAAGTCTGAAATGTACGAACAGCTGCATTCGGTTCGATGCGGTATACTATTGGAAGCCTACTGTCGCGGATTACCGTTTCTGATCTTGAGGTCAATGGTCAAACAGGTACAGGCGCTGGAAAAGTTGGAAAAGCTAACGGATGTACTGAAAGAACGTAAAGACGACGCCCAGAAAGATCGGATCCGATTCCTATCGAATTACATACAACAGGCCGACTATATGGAAGCCCTTCAACAGCTACCGAATCCATTGAACAATAGTATAGTATTGGGCGATATTATTGTACCCGAATGTCGTATTATGGATTCGGCTAAACGTCCGCTGTGGCTGGTCTGGACAAATCCGGATCCGATGGCACCGATTGCCGCTTACGCCAAAAATGCTATCATATTCAAGAGCGGCGACGACCTGCGTCAGGATATGCTGACACTGCAAGTGATTTCAATTATCAATTTGATATGGCGTCGGGCGGGTCTCGATCTGAAAATGTTACCGTACACTTGTCTGGCCACTGGCAAACAGGTCGGTATGATCGAAGTAGTTCGGTCGGCCAAAACTGTTATGAATATACAGCGATCGGGCGGCCGATTGGCTGCACTTCAAGTCGACTCCAGTCAACTACACAAATGGATCAAAGAGCACAATCGGGACAAATATCATACGGCCGTCGATAACTTTACCCGATCGTGTGCCGGCTATTGTGTGGCCACATTCATATTGGGTATTGGCGACCGTAATCCCGATAATATTATGATTACCGAAGATGGCCAAATATTTCATATAGATTTTGGCCATTTTCTCGGCCATTTCAAGAAAAAGTTTGGCATCAATCGTGAAAGAGTACCGTTTGTTTTGACCTACGATTTTCTTCAGGTAATATCCAAAGGATCGGAAAATCCATTGAAAAGCAAAGAGTTTGAGGCGTAAGTCATAATACCCATAGTATTATCATATAAAGTGATAAACAAAACAATAGTACCGTAAAGTAGTGTTTTATTTCACATATGGAAATCAAAAAATCAAACAAAAAAATGTTTCATACGGTAAAAAAACTCGCATTTTTTACCACTCCTGCTAAAATTAAACGAGTCAGTGGGGAAAAGCAAAATTGGGGGGTAGGGGGTAGGTAACTGTGAATGACCGATATATTTAAAACAGTAATCTATAATTAAAAAAAACTGGTATATATTTTTTAGATATTACCGGTAATTAATTAATTAGTTTTTATTAACAGTGTTTATAACAATAAATAACATTTGTATACATTTACAGTATTTTTATATATTAATATATATATATATATATAATAATAAATAGGTAAATTAGATAGCATATTCACAATTGAGGTTTGAAACAATTAGAGACGTCCAAAAAAAACAGGGGGTGTGGGGTGGGAAATTATTATTCAAAGTAAAAAAAATTATATATTTTTCATATATGGTACAAAACTCGCATTATTACCCCCACATGTCTTAGACATTTCCATATGGGGAGAGAAAACACATAATTTTAACGATTATTTTAATTACCGATAATTAATAACTTATTTTTTTCAACAAAAAAAAAATCCAATTATTACCCCAAAACATCACTAGTTTTCATCAACTGTGCGGTCGGGCTTATCTGGTATTGCATGAAAATGCCAGTCTATTGATAACATTGTTTACGATGATGCTGTCGACTGGCATACCGGAGCTACAGTCGATGGAAGATATTAGTTATCTGAGACAGACATTGCAAGTGGAAAAATCAAGCGAAGAAGCGCTACAATATTTTACCACTCAGTTAGCTGAGGCACACGGAGGCGCCTGGAGTACTAAAGTCGACTGGTTTTTTCATCAGCTCAAACATGGATCAAAAACATAGACATACTATAGATATACTGTATAAGAGAGAGAGAGAGACGACATTCAAGATATAAAGAGATTTACATAAATTTATATTTGTTTATATAATATTTAACAAAAAATAATTTTTTTTTATTAATAGTAATTATAAATTATTTTTTAAAAAACTACTTCCAATTAATTATTGATTATTAATACTATTAATAATTATATTATTATTATTATTATTATTAATGTTATGTTTGATGTTTTTTTTAATATATATATATACTGTATATATATATTAAAAAATATATATTGATGATAAATTTATATACAGTTTATATTGTATTTAATATATTAATATATAGCATATTGTAAATTATTTTGTATTGTTAAATTAAAGATACTCATATTCCTTCCCCCCTCCCCCCTCCCCCACCCTCTCGAATGAAAACTTTTGCAACAATTAATAAATAAATACTGTATAAATATACAGTTAAATTCTCAGTAACTTGAATATTAAAAAAAATAGAAAACTTAAAAAAAACTAAATAAAAGAAAAATAAAAATTAATTTTAATTATAAAAATTTAATATACAATTTCTAAATTATGAAATTTAAAAAATCAGATAAATTATATAGTTATATAGCAAAAATTAATAGTTTAATTTAAAAAAAAAAATTTAAAAACATTTTAACATTATTTTACTATAGTTTATATTAAATATTTGTTAAATATTTTTTTATATATTAATAATAAGTATTATAACTGATAACATTAAAAATGACAGTAATTTAATATTTTAATATACATTACAAATAAAATGTATATAATTTTACTGTATATTTGATATTATAATTTTTTCTGTAAATTTAATAAACTTAAGAAAATATCATATTAATTAATTTATGTCAAAAATACTATAATATACTGTACTTTATTAAAAAATTTTTAATAATTAATTATGCATTAGTTACGATAAATATTAAATAATAAGTACATTTGAAAACAATGATATTTTATAAGACTATTGGTATAATTATATTTACTAATATTTTTATATAATTTTATATATACAATAATTGCGAGAAATAATTATTAAGTTTTCTTTAAACACATTTAGTCAATATTATCAAATACAATGTGATTATATGGTATACATTATGTGCTATCATATCATCAATGGATAGTATAATATCACCGGAAGGGTGTGGTGTGGGCCGCGAGTCAGTGCTGATGAACGGCCAGTGTTTCCGCTGGTATGCAAACTATACACAACAACAGGACATACAGTTTGGACGATCGGCTAAACCGGGAGAAGTGCCGTTTGTGGCATACATTGAAACAATAAACAGATTGTGGATATTTAAATATGTTGACGGGTTAGTCAAAAAGTCTGAGGTGTAAAATCCCAAAATCTCGATCTTAGTGTATATTTTGGTCTTACCCCCTACCCCCCTTACTTAACCCTCATATACATATACTTTTATATAATTACATTATACTATTGCCAGTAAGCGATACAAAAACAAATTATTAGTTTATTTATATATATATATATAATTATTAAATTAAATCAATAGTTCGTGTTCGGGTTCAATATTAAATGATCGATGGATTATAACAGCAGCACATTGTATATATAGGTAAGTGTCAGTAATAGTTACAATAATAATTTATTAACAAAAATTAATTTATTAACTTAATAAATATTTTATAAAAGAATTTTTAATCTATATATTTATATAAAAAAAATAAAACAAGTAGACAAATCTAAAATTTTAATTTTATTATAAAAATTGATTAGAATTTAGTTTTATTAAATTAATTTATATACACTTTAGAAACGATTGCTATTATAACAAATCAGATATTATAGTATATCCCGGAACACAATCACTCCAACAATTACCGCACAGTTATAGTGTGGACCAGTTGTACGCACATCCAAACTATACAAACAGTTATAATGACAGGAAATCTGATATCGCATTAATCAAACTGAAAGAATCGATACCACTTTCAACCACAACTAGACATACGTTTAGACCTATTAATGCCATTTGTTTGCCCACTAAAAGTAGTATTAATTATGATTCATCATTTGATCGCAATGTAGACGATATTAATCAGTTGGCACTTATAGCTGGTTTCGGTGCTTACGGTAATCACAAACACACTGTTAATCGTTTACAAATTGGTTGGGTATACCTAGTGTTCAATTATGATCCCTATATGTATTATATGATACGTTATCCCAAATACAATGGTTCCATGATTTGTGCCGTAAGTTTTATTTATAATTAATAATTTTTATATTGTTTTTATAATAAACAAATAAATATTGATATCATAACAGTATTATATAATAAATATTCAGTAATTTATTCTTTAAGTTTCATTCAAGAAAGTTATATATAATCCAATATTTTTATAATTAATATAAAGTAAAGTACAGTATATTAATAATTAGTTAGATTACTAGTAAATTACAATCATTTTTATGTCAAATTTATTTTGTTTATTTTGTTATACTTTATTAAAACTCTCACTCTCTCTCTCTCTCTCTCTCTCTCTCTCTCTCTCTCTCTCTCTCTCTCTCTCTCTCTCTCTCTCTCTCTCTCTCTCTCTCTCTCTCTCTCTCTCTCTCTCTCTCTCTCTCTCTCTCTCTCTCTCTCTCTCTCTCTCTCTCTCTCTCTCTCTCTCTCTCTCTCTCTCTCTCTCTCTCTCTCTCTCTCTCTCTCTCTCTCTCTCTCTCTCTCTCTCTCTCTCTCTCTCTCTCTCTCTCTCTATTATTTTCTTTAATTTTTACAATTGATTTTATATAATATATTATTCTCATAATAGGGTGATTCTGGTGGTCCACTGTATCAGTATATTAACGGTAGGGCAGTGCTTATTGGTATAACACGTGGTTCATCTAAATCTATAGGCTATTGTTTGAACCCAAATGATGTGTTTAAAACTATATCTTTTGTACGCATTGCACCCAAATTGGATTGGATTCAACAAATTATCAATACTAACAATGTTTAGACATTTAAAATATTTTATATATAAAAAATTTAATATATATATATACTATAGATATACACAGTATAGTATTTGTGTGTGTGTGTGTGTGTGTGTGTGTGTGTGTGTGTTTGTGTGTAGGTGTGTGTGTGTGTGTGTGTGTTTGTGTGTAGGTGTGTGAGTGTGTGTGTATGTGACTAATAATTATAAATACTTTATAATATTTTATAATACTTTTATATTATATGGTATTGCATAATTTTGTATAAATTTAATGATTATAACAGTTTTAACTTTAAAAAAAACAAAACTAAAGGTACTATATGTTTATTAACGTTGCTATCTATAGTATAAAATTAATATATAAATAATCAAAATTATTGATGTGATCATATAATGAGTTGTGTAAAATATTTTTCAAAATTTATTATTATTATTACACAATTTTAACGATCGGTTTAGTAAAATGTTTAGAAAAATTAATTAATCAAAAATAATTAACAATAAGAAATAATTATATAGTTATTATTGATTCTATAATTAGTAAAATTTGCTGTAATTTATTTAGTAATATAAATAAAAATCTATTATAAAATTTTTTATAATAATAATATTTTTTTCATATATGTAAAATTTTCTATTAAACAAAAATATAAATATTAAATTAGTTTTTATATAAATTTATAGCTTTTGTATACAAAATAAATAGATTAGAGAAAATGCTTTTGTATAGTAAATTTTGTTTAATTATATTAATTTAAATTACAATTAATTAATTGTAAATATTAAATTTAAAAAAAAATATAATTATCATTAATAAAACATTATTAATCTCATGTTTATAAAACTTGTTAAATCTAAACATAAATATAGTATATTATGTTAAATATTTGTTGATTATTTTTTTATATTTTAATACTAAGTATTATAACTGATAACATTAAAACATGTCATTAATTTTTACTAAATTTTAAAAATAAAAAACAATATTAAATTCAAGTAATTAATATCATTTGTTTTACTATTTATTTTATTAATTGAAAACATTAAAAATGTTATTAATTTTACTAAATTTTAAAAGTAAAAAACAATATTAAATTCAAGTAATTATTATCATAATGTTAGACAAGTTGTAGCACAAAAATATTTAAAAAAAAATTGTAAGTAAATAATAATTAAAATTATATTAATATTAATCACAATAACTCATATTTTGTATATCTATATAATAAATCTATAGCCTATATAAATAATACCAATGTTGTCAATGTATTTCTAAATGAAGGTCTTATTATGAAAGACTTTAATCATAGAAATGTATTGACACTAATAGGTGTGTGCATTGAAGATACCGGTGCACCCATTATTGTCTTACCGTTTATGGCAAACGGAGATCTACTATCATATAATAATATATATATATATTTATATAAATAGTAGTAGATTTAAAAAACAATGTTATTTTATAAGATTATTGGTATAATTATTTACTTATATTTTTTTATAAATCTTATAAGTAATAAGTTATAATGAGTAATAAGTTTGTTAATTAATACAAAATATTTATTGGAATTATTACATTACAATTACAATTAAATAAATAAATAATTTAATATTTTAATATACAATACAAATAATTTATATAAAATTATTGTATATTTGATATCTCATTATAAGTTTTATGTAAATTTAATAAATTAAGAAAATATCATATTAATGAATTATTTTATATTAAATACACTATTAATATAATATACTGTACTTTATTAATATTTTTAGTTACAATTTATGTATTAGTTATAATAAATATTAAATAATAAATACATTTAAAAAACAATGTTATTTTATAAGACTTATGGTATAAATATATTTTTATATATTTATATATATTTTTATATATTTATATATATTTATATATATTTTTATATATTTTTATATAATTTTATATATCCAATAATGATTAAGTTTTATTTAAACACATTTAGTCAATATAATCAAACACTTATTGATTATATGGTATACATTATGTGCTATCATATCATCAATGGATAGTATAATATCACCGGAAGGGTGTGGTGTGGGCCGCGAG